CAGACCAGTGCCCGGGGGGGGACCAACTTGGTAAGTTGTTGCCTGGGGGCTTGCCTAGTTGTCACGAGGTGCCACGTGTCGCAACTTCACTGGAGGGCCAAATCTGCCCTCATCACATGCCTTTTGGCCTCAAATGTTCAATAGTTGACCAATTGAGGGATGGCTCATTGATGTGTTAGCTGGTTTGTTCCAGTGTTGGCGTGGAATCGAATCCCACAACCAACACTTGGGGGAAAAAGGGGTCAAGGGGGAAGTTATTAATGGTGCATGGCACTAAATACCAAAAAAAAAGTTTAAAAAATTAAGTTTATATATAAGCGGAGTTGGAGAAATCCAAGGGCCATGGTTGAGTTTTTGGTTCGACTCTCAGTGGATACACGAGAGCTAGAGACGAGTGTGAGAGAGGGCAGGGGAGAAGAAGAAAGAGAGGTTTGCATTAATGGCATCCAAAGAAGAAGAAGAAATAGATTCCTTTGGGTTTTTGCAATTGTTAATGGCATCTTTCCAATTGTAAGGTTTGGTCGAGGTTCCCTCATTCGTCTTGAACTAGTATCCTCTTTCATTTTTTTTTTTAACTTTACTTTTTTTATTTAAATTTCAAAAATTATATTATGAAAAACTAATGGGAAAACTTACATTTAGTTTTCTAAGCACATGTGCATGGGGTGTCCATGCGAACTATGATGTGTTCAATTCTAATTGGAAGTGCACTCCTACACACACCCATCCAAGTGTAGGAAATCCTATCTCGTTTTCTCTTTTGTTTTGTTGGGTGTTGAGTCCATGGATTATGAAAGAAACCTCAACACAAATTTATGTCTTGTTTTGTGCACTTAATTATTTGTCATATAGGACTTGTGGAGAGAATATAGGCCTTCTCCCCACATTGTTTTGGGCATATGTAGCACGACGATTTGTTATTTCTGGTAGTGAGTATACGTAATGCCAAGGATGAGAGCTATTATATTCTAGAGGCCGATCACTGAAAACCTTCTACATTGTCAGGACCCAATTTTTGCCCGGTCCCTTCACCCTACCTCTTTGTACCATTCTCTTAGAACCCAAAAACTTAGAAATGCAATCAGATCAACTTAAGACTTTCTAAAACCCAAAATACCTTCATTTGACACAATCCATAGGACAAATAACAACCTTAAGATCAACATCAATATCCGATCAAACATCATCCTCAGACTTGGAAAACTACAACTTAGTTACACATCACTTTTTATGACTAAACTGCAAAGATCCACCGTTTATCACGTCAACTTCCTTTCTAACGACCCCGGTCCATGTGATATTCAAACTCTAGCTCCCCAAAATAAAATCCAACATATCTATCACCTCAAGATCATTAGGAAACAATCAACTAGTGAATCCCAACACAAATTCACGACAACCACCCGCAAAAACACCAAGAACTCATTCTGATGGTCTTAAATGATTACCAAGATCAACCATATCTTTCTCAGATCAGAACTATACACTTGATCCCTCACCCTAATCCATGCTTACCTACCAAATTGTAGCTTAAAACTCCCCCATTTGACTCATCATCAAGCCTAGATCCTATTTCAACAAATTTCATTAATTAGAGCTTACCATCTATTATCCCAACTTTATATGGCAATCATACCTTACCACTGTGTTTGGAGACCCAAAAAACCCCAGCACGTCAAATTTTACGACCAAACACCTCTGTTTGACCGTTGAAAAAGTAAGATTCCATTTTGGGCCCTCTCGTTCATTGGAAAACCATAAGCTAAGACCATGATCTGAACTAAAACAATCAATCTACACCTCTGATCAAAGACCTATCACTTCCATTAGATTCGGGATGTTCAAAAATGCCAACCCACCAAATTTCATCCCAAAATTCCCCCATTTGACCATTCATCAAACAAAGATTATATTTTAGCAAATTTTATTAATCCAAACTTGTTAGCCATAGATCTCAATCATTCTGACCCTATTTGTCCGATTTGACCTCACTACTGTGTTCCAAGACCCAAGAAACCCCCAGCACGCCAAGTTTCATTACCAGATTCATCTATTTGACCATTAAACTAGAGATATACCATTTTGATGCACCAGATTGAACTGCCACATCAACTGTCCCACCTAGGATCTTAAGAGGGTGGGGACTGATGTTAGCTCCTTACTTGACCCCATTAAAACACTTGGACCAATGAATTTGAGCCTAATAGTCTTAAAAAATACCAAACACGCCCCTACTTAAAACTAAGAAAAAATAAACCTCATTTAAAAGTTCTTCAAATTTATATTTTTTGCCATTGACAGCCCCAAATACAAGACTGCAACGTTTGGCATGCCCCGGTCCCTCATTGGATGCACGAAATCCATAAGAAGCCACCCAAAATCGAGAAAATTTGTTGCACAAAGAAGGAAGGATAAACTTTAGGCCCTTCTCTCTCAAAATCCTTACCTATTTCAGTGAAAAGACTCTGTTGAATCAGGGACACTGTAGTTAGACGAGTTTCAAACCCATCTCCCTCCATTTTCTCTATAAATAGAGGTCTTGATCAAGCTTGAAAGGAGGGGCATGGTTTTCCAACTTATGTAACATACCCATTCTGCTTGAAATCCCAAAATTCCTAAAGCTAAGCTCAAGCCTCATCCCTTGTTTTCCAGACTTAACACCAGAAACACTTAGCCAGTTTTGTACTTTGCTCAAGTTTCATTTGAAGTCCTTTTAGCTATAGGAAAGTTTGTTTCAAAGTTGTATACGAGAGGTAAGCCTCTCATTCCACCATCTCTTTGCTTTTAGTTTAGTTTGAAATTGCTTAAAGTCCAAAAATCTCGGGAAATTTGCATTCTCAACTTCCTCCAGATTGAGAAAAAGAGGTAAAGAGGCGAGGGTCTTAGGGAAACCAGTACCTAAGACCCGATAACATCACTTCAAATCAATTCTGGGCAAAGTTGGAAACATTTTTGACGGATTTTAGGAGTTTTGAGCAATCATGTTAATTGGTGCTTCGCTGGAACTAACCCTGAATAACTCCCATATTGGAATGCTATAGCAGATTGGAAAGAGGGGTGCTTAACACCTTCCCTCTCCCAATCCTTGGGATTCGAAATCTCTCAGTTATGTGCATTTTCCGTGAAGGATAGAGTCACTATCAAAAACTTAAATTAAAATTTTCAAATATGAAAATGAAGGCTCATTTCCTTTAAAAAAATGGGTGACGATTCCATCTCTTTGAGCCAGTCATGAACTTCTTGGAGCATTACATACATCGACATATATTCTCCTAGAGGCAACAAAATCGGTTTTAAAGAGAGCAGTCACTTGTTGTGACTCAACTATTACCGATAAGCTTATCTACCTTTTTGTTAATAGATTTAAATTTATTGTTATAGATTTGGAATTGCTTTTAGCATTCAAATATTGTTTGCATGCCATCGTCGCCATCTCTGTTTATTATTTCCAACATCAAGACAAATACAGAGTCTTTTGCACATTTAAATGGGTCTGAATAATCTTTAATATTTGTAAATGGTTTGAAAAGTAAATGAGGCCATGAGTCTTGGTTGGGCGGGGGCCTCTTTGTGGCAAATGGCTGTAGTTCAGTGGTTGATATCAAACGATTATTAGTGTCCGTTTAGGAGGGCTTTCACATAACAACTTATGGCATTGTAAGTAGGTACCTTCTTGGAAGTGCGAGGGGTACTTTTGAAATAAACAATCATGGGCTCATGCCCTTGGACATGACAAAAATTTTTTTAATAAAAGATTGATTAAATAAGCAGATTTCAAATTATAGAAGTGTTTTAATAAAATAAAAATTATAAAATAGATATTAATAAATTCATGAAACTATAAGATTGTTCTAGAATAAGCAATAATGAACAAATAAACTTTGGGTTGCGTTCACAACCTAACAACTCTATAAGGATTTCAGTACAGTGGATTCTTGACAAAACTACATAATTACCAAATACAGCCTTGAAGAGCTTGATGTTGAAAAGGTTTTAGTTAAAATACAAAATAATAAAAAAAAATCCTGTACTATAGATTAATGACAATTATCACCCTGGACCTTCATTTGCGACAAAGACCCCTTTACTATAGGATCAATTGCAACTACCCTAAAACTTTGACTTAGTGACAAATACCCCTTTGATGGAGTTTCGTTAGTTAACTTCAAAAAACATTCACATTTAGTTGCTTAAAGTTTTTTAAATTCTCAAACTGCCATCTTTTTCTTATGTAATAGATCCTTTGAATAATTTCTATATTTTAATATGAAAAGAGACACTCACATTAGTGAAATGAAACACAAATTTAAATTAAGAAAATTATTTTTCTATATCAATGAAATGATTCTTGTTATTTTAATCGGTTTTACTTAGAGAAAACAAAACATAGGTGTTTTGGGTGAATTAGGGTTTAAGAGAAAAAGGACAACAAAAAGAAAATAAGAAAATTCACATGGATATTTTGATAATTTAATGCAATTTGCCATCGGACTTAATGTTTAGAAGGGTCACATAAAAGTTGAAGGAGTAATTATCAATCATCCCAATATGAGGGGTCTTTATAATTTACCCAAAGTTTTACTTGTGGGTTGTTTTATATTTGTATTGATGAGAGCCCTTTATTGGAAACTAGTTCTTTGATTTGTATTCATCTCAAGCTGGTCTGGTCACTTCGTGTCGGGCTATAAATAACGTAAATCATAGACAGCTAGCCATCAACTGAATCCAGTAGAATGTGATTCGTTAGAGGACCAAAGAAGAAGATCGAATGCAGTGATGATCGATGACAGCCGATAAAAGGAGGGAATCGAAGAGCATGATCATCCCACCACCAATCTCTCATCTTCGTGTTTGGGTTTTACGTCCAGCACTACCCACCATGCTCCATTGTCATGGAGTATCGGTCTGCACTTCTTGTGGGGTGTGTTTGCTCCGGCTCCGGCGATTGAAGCCTATACAATTGAATTATCGATTGGAAAATACTTTCTTTCGCTAAAAGCTACAGCTGTATCAGCTTCAATCTTCCGTTCTAACAGTAACAGAGACGTTACCGTCTTACCGATATCACCTCGGGACAGATAGCCCAAGCTCCAATAATGGATCTATCGAGAGCTGTCTGTCTCTGACTCCCATTGTCTGAAAAGCGGGACAAATGTCGAGAGCCGGGATCTACTGTACTTTTTTGTTGCTCTGCAATTGTCTTACACTTTAATTTATTCTGTGACAAGTGGAAGGCCAAGCAGGCAAGGAATCAGGCTCGGCACTTGATTTCACCGGAAAAAAATTACGTAGAATTCATTTATTGCAGACTGCTATTAGTTGGGGAGACCCATATCTGTTGCTTCGCTGGTTCTTCTTAGGTGTTTATCATTGAGTGCGCCCACGTGGGTTAAGATCCTGAGTAACAGATAGTGTCTCCCCACATACTGAATTCTGACACCATTAGCATCTGATCCTCTCTCTTCTCCATCTCTGTTCCACATTCCTTTCTGTTATCTTTAATGGGTTTTTCTCTGTTTAATTACTAACCTCGAATTCATTCGATCTTATGGTATTCCTATGGCTTCCATTCTTCGTTGTCGTAAGCTCCGCTATGTAGAGCCTGTTAAGTGTTCAACGTTGGGTCTCGAATCTCTTGAGACTTTAAAAAGCAGTGACAAAGCTGAGGGTGGTGCTTCAGCTGTTGTTGTTAACACCATTAATCGATCTTTACCAGGGAAGAGGAGAAGGAGGCCAACTAACGACTGGAGGTATATAGATTGGTACTGCTGGATGGTTGGGTACCTATGCACTACATGGTGGCTTCTCTTATTACTGTCTCACTTTCTGTCTGGCTTTCAAGCTCCCGAATCACCGGGGTCAAAGCTGAAGCGAGAAGGATTGAAAGCGTTGCATCCCGTCGTGTTGGTGCCCGGCATTGTTATTGGCGGATTGGAGCTCTGGGAAGGCAGACCCTGTGCGGATGGTCTGTTCCGTAAGCGACTCTGGAGCAGTAGCTTTACAGAAAACTTCAGAAGGTTCGGATTTCTACTCTGTATACCGTCGTTTCTAAATCAAATTTCGATTGCATGGATGCTCATTTCTGTTTTCTGAACTGAGTTCTTGCAATTAGGCCACTGTGTTGGTTGGAGCATTTGTCTCTGGACAGTGTGACAGGGCTGGACCCACCAGGCATCCGGGTTCGTCCTGTTACTGGGCTGGCTGCGGCGGACTATTTTGCTCCTGGGTACTTTCTTTGGACTACCCTTATCGAGAACCTGGCGAAAGTTGGATACGAGGGGAAGAATCTGCACATGGCTACTTACGATTGGAGGCTCTCTTTTCAGAATACAGAGGTTGTTTAGTTCCTCCTGCTTCTTCTATCTCTAGAAGTTCAAGCTTTGCATTCGTTTCATTAACTTTGTATATGGCTAATTTATATCCAGTGATTATCAATGCTTGACAAATATGAGAAATCAATAGTTGTAATATCATATCTAATCTGATCCAAATTCAATTGGGATTGAGCAGGTTCGAGACCAATCCCTCAGTAGACTGAAGAGTAAAATTGAACTTATGTTTGTAATCAATGGTTATAGGAAGGTAGTAGTGGTTCCCCATTCTATGGGGAGCCTCTATTTCCTCCACTTTCTCAAGTGGGTTGAAGCACCGGCTCCTATGGGTGGAGGTGGTGGTCCGGGATGGTGTGCTAAACACATCAAAGCAATCATGAACATTGGTCCGTTGTTTCTTGGTGTTCCAAAGGCAGTTAGTAACATACTCTCTTCTGAGGCTAAAGACATTGCTTTTGCCAGGTTGGTTTTCTCAGTTTTAGTACTTGGCATGTGGTAACCAGTTAGATTAATGTTGAATTGTCGATACAAAAATTGCACTCAGTAGCAATTTAGCACTTCTTTGTCAAAACAGAGGCACTGCTTTAACTATATGAGTTGAATCCAATCAGTTGACAAGCTAGTTTTCTCAGTTTTAGTACTTCATGTGGTAGCCAGTTAGATTCATGTTGGATTGTCAACACCAAATTGCACTATGTAGACTCTAGCAATTTTGCACTTATTTATTTGTCAAAATAGAGGCACTGCTTTAACTGTATCAGTTGAACCCATTCAATTGCCAGGTTAGTTTTCTCAGTTTTAGTACTTGGCATGTGGTAGCCAGTTAGATTCATGTTGAACTGCCGATACCAAATTGCACTCTGTAGCAATTTAGCACTTATTTGTCAAAATAGAGGCGCTGTTTCAACTATATGAGTTGAACCCAGTCAGTTGCCAGGTTACTTTTCTCAGTTTTAGTACTTGGCATGTGGAAACCAGTTGGATTAATGTTGAATTGTCAATACGAAATTGCACTCTGTAGCAATTTAACACTTGTTTATTTGTCAAAATAGATGCACTGCTTTTACTAGATAAGTTGAACCCAATCAGTGCAGTTGAATGGTGAGGTCAAAGATTATTATCAGCTTTCCAACTTATTGGAGTTCTATTTTCTTTTTAAATAGACTACTGGATTTTTTACTAAGCACAATTCTTTTAATTTGCTTGACTTTCTTGGTTCCTGCAGAACTATGGCTCCTGTCGTTTTAGATTCTAACTTTCCTGGTCTTCAAACCCTAGAACACATCATGCAAGTTTCTCGCACTTGGGACTCGATGATGTCATTGATACCAAAAGGAGGAGAGACAATCTGGGGTGACTTGGATTGGTCACCTGAAGAAGAGTACAATTGTGATTCTGAATGGAAGAAAAATCTGAAGGCCTCTTCAAGAGACCAATCACATAAAACCAACATAAGTGATGGACAGCTAGGTTTCAGAGTAAAGGAGTCTGTAAAATTTGGAAGGATAATCTCCTTTGGGAAGATGGCATCAAAATTACCTTCCTCTGAGCTAAGAACTTTTGATTTTAAGGTATTAAACTTCTCTCTTTACTTTGTTGTTTGGAATGACTGGTTAACTTCAAGAATCAACTTGATATTACAAGTAATATAAGCAAGTACCATAAAAAAGAAATTCATTTCTTTTTGAAGCGCCAAATAATGACGTCCCTCGTGCATCAAGTCCTTTGCTGTATTGTCTCTTAGGTTCGTAGGGAGAAGACTGCACCCAATGTCTTTTTCAATTTAGACAGGTGACCCTCAAAACCAATGACTTGCAGCAGGGAGTCCTGCCTGCTCAATGATTTGCACTAGGGAAAATCCCAATTCCCAAATAGAGAGGTATTGTCATCCAGTGTCCTTATTCTTTAGTAATCTAGGCTTTCCAGAGCACAATGCTCACAAAGTCTTAAAACTTTCTTGGAGTTGGCAATAAATGGTTTTGGGTTTTTTTGGCTGTCAACTCAGTAAGAAAGCGTCCAATTTGAACCCGATTAAACTATTATCCAGGGTGGGTCTAAACTTAACATTACTAAGAGGGGGTAGATTAGAAAGTACAATTCCACCAACAGGTTGGACTTTGGGTGGTGGATAAAACAGTTATGGGAATGAGTTGTACTGACCAAAATCTTCATAAAAAACAGGTGGATTAGTAGTAGATCAATTTGTTGATTTAATAAATGGGGGGGGGGGGGGAATGGGAGACCTTGTATCCTTTCCATTGTTCAATTAACCTAATAACATACCAACAAAATGTAATAGTGTCGCTTATAAGCAGAGTTTAAAATCCTTATTCCTCAAGACCTCAGAACTGACAGAACTGACAAGAAGCTACCCTGCAGCTTACTCTTCCTTGTATCAACTCAATGTGACAGTATCACATGTCCAAGGCAATAGATTCATGGTTGATGGTATATGTGTGTGATCTCACTGTTTTGCTACATCCCCTCCCCCCCCCCTCTCTCTCTCTCTCTCTAGTGGAGTAAAATGACTAGGGTGCTTCCCATATGGTTGTATGCTTAGGGTCAAAATTTGCTGTCTTCAATTTTCTACTGAACTCAACCAAGTCTTGATCCCAATTATTGGAGGATTTGCTGCATTCAATTCATGGTGAAGAATTCAACTTAGGACCTCTTTAGATGTGGCCTGTTGAAGTCATTTTTTTTATTCAAATAATTTGTAATAAGTGGGCTAGCTAGTCTACTAGCCAAATCATTAAAATTATAAAAAGTATCCCGTATGGGAGTTCCCCCTCCTAAGTGGGGAGTTCTCTCTCTTTAAGTGGGGAGTTCCCTCTCTTTAAGTGGGAGGGACAGGTGTCCTTCACCTAGGAGGAGGGGGTAGTTACATAACCACCCCACTCCCTATTTAAGCTCCTTAAGGGGAAGCTAGAAACATATACACACGGAGAGACTCTTCGAAGAAAATTTTCACAAGAGATTCTTAAGAAAAGCAAAGATAAGGAGAGGAGAAAAGAGAAGTGCTCAAGGGAAGGCAAGGAAGGAAAAGTCTCACTTATACAGGTAAAGAAAAGGAAAGTCCTCTCTGTGAATACTTCCTATTTATTTCTTCTGCTATGTATCCTTCTTTCTCTCTCTTTCGTTATTACTTTTGAGAAAGGAAAAAGAGGGAAATAAACCATCCACAACCAGGTGCATTTACTTGGTTGATTATGGTCCCTCTTTCAAGACAAAGTTAGGGATTAAACCATCTACAGTCTAATTCCCAAAGACTGATTATGGTTCCCTTCAAATGAAAATGAAGAGTAGGGGGGAATAAACCATCTATAACCAGGTGCCTCTACTTGGTTGATTATGGTTCCTCTTTCAAGACAAAGTTAGGGAGTAAACCATCTACAGTCTAAATCTCAAAGGCTGATTATGGTTCCCTTCAAATGAAAATGAAGAGCAGAGGGATGAAAATCATCTACAATCAAATATTCAATTTGATTGACTACGATTCCCTGTTTGTATGCAAAATTCCAAGGATTAAGGCTGTCTACAATCAGAATTTCATCTGATTGACTACAACTTATTATGAAGAAAGGAGTGAGAAAGAAATTTTCTTTGTATTAAAAAGAAAAGAGAAATGTATTGCTGTATAGTTTCTCAGTTGTATTTTCTTGTTCTTTCTTCTCATTCTTGTACACTTAATGTAAAAGAATAGCAAATGAAAAGTTCTTTTTAAGTATCCTATTGTTCTTTTCTTTTGTTCTATTCTCAAAGTCAGGATCAAGAGGTGTTCTCTACTTTCTTGTGGAGATGTAATTAAGGGGAACAATCCATATGATTCCCTGAATGGGCCTTAACCAAAATAATAAAAACTCAATCACTTGATTGGGTGAATTATGTTGCATGGGAATTTATTAAAATTTCCACACCAACATGGCCAAAATAATCCATTGTTTTAGACAAATTTTTAAATTAAAAATTGAAATTTTGTACCTTGTATCAACTACAGAAAACTCCAACGTGAGGTGGGGTATTGGGCTATAATTGACTAGGGAGGTGAAAATTCAGGTCCAGAGGGTCCTCCCCTATGCAGTGGAGGTTTCATGTGGCAGAAACAAGTGGAGATGTTTAGAAAGCTTTTCTAATTGACCTGACTTGGAAACCCTCTTTGATATATATATATATATATATATATAGTGGATATGGCACTGGTACTTTTTTGGGTGTTACAGGACCTATCTACACTGACAGTTTTTGTACTTATCTTTAGTTTATAGGTTCACTATGCAACCCATAGGTACTTGCCAACTACAAGCAAGAGTCTGAGCTGGAGGATGAGATCAGCCCTTGCCTTATGATGTTTGATTCTGTATTTATTATGGTTAGGCCAACTTTTGTTGTTATGATTCTGCCTCATATGACCTGATTGTATGTTCTAACCCTTTCTCCTTGGTCCAAGAAAACTTACCAATCTACCATTCTTCATTTACTATTTTCAATTTCAACCAACAGGTTCTTATTGCATTCAATATGGTTATCTGTGTATTTGATTTGTAATAAAGTAATAAGTTCTAATGTTCTACAGGTCTCTTGGGTGGTTAGTAAAAGTGTTTATAAGAAAGCTTGAGACACTTTGTAAAAGGAGAACTAGTATGTATAATTACCAAAAAAAATTAAATTAAAGGATAAATAGTATAATAAAAAAAAATGTTGTTGTTAGATTGTAGAGATGGGATTGTAAAATCTGAGTCCTAAAATTAAACCGTGTCAAATCAAATATAATTTAGATTTTTAAATTCTGTTTATTCTGCCGAAGTCCATTACTCAAAATCCCAGAATTAGGGTTATAGGTGCATTCCAAAATTGAATTGGATTTCAAACTTGATTAGAGAATCTGCACATGAACCAAACATTCTGGATTATCATTAGGATTTGATTTTAGATACAAACAGATAATGCAATGCTACACAAACAGTCCCCCAAACTCATTCAACTATAGGCTTGCAAATGTGAAATACCTTTTAAAAAAGTTAACGGGGGTAATGTCCTTGTTACATATTTAGATGTATCTTGGCTAGAGAACATAGAAAGAGTAGATCCTGCTATATGCACTAAACTTGCAACTGAATCTGCAACTACACTTTCATATTTCAGCTATTCATGGTTATCATGTGTTGAAATTATGCCAAGCAGCCCAGCTTTTAATGTTGTTTATAAATTCTTTGACAAAGGTGTCCATAACTTAAGTGCAGCATGCTAACATGTCAATCGCAACTCCATGTCCAATCTATCTATTATCAATTAGGTAATCATTCTTTTCTGTTGTACTTGTTCAGTTTTCTAACCATCATTTATAATCAGGACCTTTCTTGTGGTGGTGCATCAACTAAGTCCAATTCATCATGTGGAGAGGTGTGGACTGAATATGATGAGCTGAGTAGGGAAAGCATCAAGGAAGTTGCAGAAAACAAAGTCTATACAGCAACAACTATTCTTGATTTGCTTTACTTTGTGGCCCCAAAAATGATGCGGCGTGCCAATGCTCATTTCTCCCATGGGGTAGCTGAAAATTTAGATGACCCAAAGTATTCCCATTATAAGTACTGGTCCAATCCACTGGAGACCAAGTATGTAGGATCTTTCTTTATCAAATTAAAGCACAATAAACTATTGTTCTCTCTCGTTTTTTTGTTTTAATCCACATACTAGCTAGACCAAATATGTAGGTCCAATTAATCCACTAATAACCCTTCTTGATTACTCTTTCGGTTTTAAATTTTCTTGTTGAAAAGTTAGGTTGTCTTTTATTCAAGAGGCCTACCTAGAACATGCCGTATTAGGAAGCCTTGTAGTCAGAGACCATATGACTGAATAAGAAACTTTGTAGTCAGAGACCATATATGACTGAACAGTCCGACTAAAAAATCTAGGTAGCTTTCTATTGTCAAGTGTCCTCAAGGTCTGGTAGTCCATTTACCCATATTTGCTTCTCATTTTTAGCTTCAAAGTCCAACAGTCTCATTGAAGATATATATATATATATATATATATATATATATTGATGGCAGGTTACCTGATGCTCCAGCTATGGAGATTTACTGTTTATATGGAGTGGGTATCCCCACAGAAAGATCATACGTGTACAAGCTCTTACCTTCAGACCAGTGCAGGCACATCCCCTTCCGGATTGATAGCTCCACAGGTGGTAACAATGGTAGGTGCTTGAGGAGTGGCATCTACTTTGTGGATGGTGATGAGAGTGTACCAGTTTTGAGTGCTGGGTTCATGTGTGCCAAAGGGTGGCAGGGAAGAAACCGTTTCAATCCATTTGGCATCTCCACCTACATAAGGGAGTACCGGAACAAGCCGCCTACCATTCTGTTTGAGGGCCGGGGTTTAGAGAGTAGTTCTCATGTTGACATCATGGGAAATGTGGCCTTGATTGAGGACATAATGAGGGTTGCAGCAGGTGCCAATGGAGTAGAGTTGGGTGGCAACAGAATTTTCTCAGACATCATAAAAATGTCTGAAAGGATAAACCTACGCCTGTGATGACACTATTGGCATTAGCATGATTTCCTTCCCTTCAACAGCCAATCACTTCTTGAGATTCTGTCATAGGTAGTCAACCTGAAACAACTTGAGAAGACATCACCAGGCATTCAAGTAATCTAGAGAAGGGAAAGAGATCAGTCTAGCACATGCAACAGAACAGAGCCACACAGTGGAGTTAGAGGATTGGAACTCAACCACAAATATTCTAACTACCATTTTTCAGAATGGTTGTTGTGGGTAGTAATTGATAAATGAGGGTTTTACTGTGGAAGTGGAAGATATACATCAACTTGGTGGAATCTTACTATAGTGAATAAATGACTTGTACAAGTTCTGTTTGTACTAGGTTTTAGTGATCAGGAGGTGCAGTAGGGTCCATTTTATTTTGTTCTTAAATGTGGACTATACCTGTAAAATCCAATTACTGGACTGCTTTGTATTATTTAGCTAGCTACTCTTTTTTTTTTTTTTTCCTTATAATCTGTGTTCTTAGTATGGACACTGACCTGTTGTTGGTGGTTGAATGACGTTGGTTTGACGAGGGTGGGGTTAAGCACTTAAAACCATTGCCATTTTAGGGTGGGAGATAATCAGAGTCCCCCTCTTGGAGATCCATGTAGGTCATTGTTTTAATTTTTAAACTTGGTCAGACCCAAGGTTTTTAAAACCGGACTGGACAGGGAACTGTTATGGGGACCGGTTCCCAGGTTGAATGGTTGACCGTCCAGTTCGAATGGATGGCCCATTCTAACTTAAAAAAAAAGATCAAAACCGTTGTCCGGGTTGACGGTTTGATAGTTTGACCACCCGAGTTAGTGGGGCATTGATCAAATCAGCGGTTTTGGCCAAAAAGCGGTCTTAGGGTGAAATGGAACCAGTTATCTGACCGGTTCCCAGTTTTCCCGGTCTAACTGTCCAATCCAGTCCAGTTTTGAAAACAATGGTAAGACCGATTGGTATCATATGACCCAGACCCGGCCCGTTAAAAGGGTTTTTGTTCTCTCACACACATGTATATATATATATATATATATTCTGAAATGAAAGATTTTATCTTAGTCCTCACTCCTCATCAACAGTTAAAAATCCAGGGCTGCACCTACCTAACAGGAAAAAGAAATTAATGACTGATTGGTCCAACCGGTTTAATTGGATAGGTTCATGAGTTTGACCGATTATGGCAGTTTAGGGATGGGCTAGGTTAGAGGTTAGAACGATCCATGTATGGCCAAGTTTGGCCCGAGCTCGTGTTTGATGTTAGAACATATAAAAAATTGATTGGCTTCCATCAATTTCTTTTAGGGGTGAGTATTTAGTTTATTCGATTAAAAACTGAAGTAAATAAACAGGCCCAATGCAGATTTCTGAATCCCATTTTAGATCTATAAATATTCAAAATGTTAAATATTCACACTCTAAGCACCAACGTCTGTCCGTGAATTGGCATCAAATCCGAGCTGGCACCTACCCTAACTATACTTTGTACCTATAAATTTTGATCATGGGCTGAACCGTCATTCTCTCTTAAATAAACCTAAAATTTTAAAGTCAAAATAAATAAAATTGAAATTTTTAATTTGGTTATTTGGTTTAAACCGAATCCATTAATATATAATAATAGGCTTCAACTGTAATGCTAGAAAGATATATACTGAAAAAAAAATTATGACCATCAAACAACAGAATCATAAAAGTAGTAACCAATCAGGTGGGTTTTCATCAAAATTCACCAAAGGGTTGTGATTAGTCAAAGCCTTTCTGGTGTCACGTTTTTTTGGCATCATAGATTTTCCCTATATAATTACATAGGTGAATTCAATTTTTTTTTGATTTACTGAATTTTCAATTCTAAAAATCGAAAATCAGAAATTTTTGTTTTACTTTTCGGTTTTTACGGGATATTACTCACCCCTAATTTCTTTTGCATTTGCTATTGATAAATGGAAAACCTAGTTGATCAAACTTCTTCCCTGACATTCAACCATTCAAACCCTACAAAAAATCAAATTTTCTATTTGGGACCATTGACAGATTTGTTGAAATCGACTTTACGATTAGATTAGTCCCTAATTGCAACAATACGCAATAAATCCAATTTAATATTATGAGATTGACTTCCTGTCTGTATCAGTATCACCATCAATTAAACAGGATTAAAGAAAGCTGGATCAAGACCAGACCAGAAGGTTAGCTCCAATCCAGTGGATGGTAAGAAAAATGTTTGACCAATAAATTGACAATAACTTCCCATGCTTTTCATGTGGATTCATAAAAATTTAGTTTAAAACCATGGGCGTGGACTTGGTTTCAATTTTTAATTCTACCAAACAAGTAGTTTGCAGTAATCAAGCAACTACTAATTTATAATATTATATAAATATTATGTATAGACCCACATTGGAATTTTTGCTTGACACCTGTCTCACATTTGAGAGTTTGGTATCACCGTTGAGACTTGGTAAATGTGTTGATGATGCTTGACAATGAACCAAGAGAATATGAAGTTTGAATCCTCTACGGTTCTACCGGCAAAAAAGGGGGTGATTTCTTTCTTTTTGTTTTTTGCTTGAAATTTTTAATTTTGTTTATTATTACAATTGTTTTTTATATTTTAATTACTTTTTTTTATTTTTGATATTTTAAATGAAATAATTTCAAATTTATAGGTTTATATAATTGGGAATTGATGATGGATAATTTGGTCCTCCAATGACACTATGACATACATGTGGCATTGCAAAACAATTGGTACCTCAGTACCACATAAGCAGATCATTTCAAACACTTTGCAACTGCATCAACGACCTCGGCACCAACTTGGTAGGCCGAACTATGAACAACTAGGTAGGACCTCAGGTTGGCGTAAGAGGCGATCTGCTTCCACCAAATTACCCTGGCCCTAGTTAGCGACCTGCTTGACGTGTTGAGCAATCTTCCCCTTAAATGGTCAATTGCCTTTGAATTCCTCGGGATCACGATGCCACGTTAGAAAAACTGTTTATCACTCCACCCGTTTCGGACGGGATTGGATAGACATTACTTGCTTATACAAAGTCCATCTCCAGGCATAGAATCACCTTCAAACCAGGCAAACCGAAGATCTTGGATGCATTTCATGAGGTTCATGGAACCTCATGAGGTACGCACGACGTAGCACTCAAGCTCTCTCTTACTTGCTAGCTGTGAAAAACTCCAACTCACTTACTTGAGCATCAAAATGTCCACACTAGATAAAAGTAGCCCGACTACTTTGATTTTCTCTCTTTCTTTATAGCTCGATTAAGTGACCTACATATAGTCCAATGTCTGAACTATTCTCCAATAGGAGTTACAAGTGGGGAATCGATCAAAATACAAAAAGGGTATTGTAACCTAAGTAGATAAAACGGGTAAATCGATAAAAATTTATGAAAGGGGACAATGTCAAACCATAAAATCCACTCTCAACTAAGCCATAAAGCATTTAATATTTGAAGGAAAAAACCTAAAAATTTGAAATTTGCATTGACTGGTTGCATGCAAAGTTCGGTGAAATTTGCCCAAAAATCTCCCGACCTCCTGCAACTGCTTGACAACAGCCATGGCCGTGGCTGCGTCCATGTGACCATGTCCTTAAGCTGAGTTCTGAGCCTTTAACAACACCACCTTGTCACCATCATCATTCATGGCTTCTTCCTCTAAGCTCTGCCACCTTCTCACTCCGCCCACTCTACCAAAGCTGAGAGAATGAGAGAGAGAGGCACAGTAAATAACTTTTGCCGGTAAATCTGTAGATGATTTGGACTACGTGATTCCAACTGGACCTCTCGACAGTTGGCGAGATGACAAAATGAGGTTTGATCAAATCAATTTTGACTTTCGGGTCGAATATTCTTGGTGGGACCCACATCAGACGGGGTTGGTAATTCATAATTGGTTGGCATCCAGTTTTTCAATCCCAGGTTGATGGTCTCATACTCTCATACGCGTCACTCGTAATTATATAGATTCAATTCTATGCCACCCTTGGTTGTCTACGTGGCAGATATTTATTATCCGTTTTCTTCACGGTAGTCCGGATCGGAGACTGGACGACCCCTACCCCTCTTCGCTTGCCACGTGGACAGATTATTTCCCCTAACCCACACCCTCCAGCTGGATTTTCATGTCTTCACGGAAGACGGGGATGGGACTATTGGGATAAGATAAGAATTTATTTGCCACGTGGCGTTGGAGAGTGATGATGACACTTGTGTTACTGTACGAGTCAGACATGTAATGTAAGCAACACCAACTCTAAGTTAGAATCGTCTACAGTTCTACTCGTAAATAAAGTGGGTTCCTACTGCCATACCTTGATTGGCCCTGTATCGTTGGGGAATCGTGGAGGATTTGGAGTGCCAACTCCATCTACAAGTCTCTTTCTTTCTGCTCCTACACAAATCCCTGTCCTGATTATTCTCTTTCGCGCTTTTATTTCCTTTGGAAAGGCACAAATCTCCAATTCGCCACCACCACCCCCACCGGAAAAAACCGCCACCACCGGAAAAAACCACCACCACCATCGTTGCCACTACCACAACTAAGAGTAGTTCAGTTTTCCACAATCCCAGTATAGTGAGAGACATAATGAGTTGAGGTTGGGAGAAGAAGATAGAGTGATTAGAGTAGAGCCGATTATGGGGGCGACGCTCTCCAACTTGACGGATGGGGTGGCGAATGGTTCGACCATCGGACCGGGCCTAGGAGACATACCTGAGAGCTGCGTTGCCTGTGTGTTCATGTACTTGACCCCGCCGGAGATATGCAACCTGGCTCGCCTTAACAGGGCATTTCGTGGTGCCGCTTCCTCGGACTCGGTCTGGGAATCGAAGCTGCCCTCCAATTACCAGGATCTTCTCGACTTGTTGCCTCCGGAGAGGTACCAAAATTTATCGAAGAAGGATATCTTTGCTCTCCTCTCTCGTCCTATTTCTTTCGACGACGGCAACAAGGTTGGTTTTCTGGACCTTCTCTCTTTTAATCCATTTCTTTTTTCTGAGGTTTTGAGCTCTGGAAGAATCATTTTTCTTTTTCTTTTTTCTTTTTCCAGTTCTTATTGATTTGTTTGACTCTGACATGGGTGCTTTCTCAGGAGGTCTGGGTGGACAGGGTTACGGGAAGGGTTTGCATGTCGATCTCGGCAAAAGGTATGGCGATAACTGGTATTGAAGATCGGAGATACTGGAATTGGATTCCTACTGAAGAATCTAGGTTTGTTTCACACTTTTCTTGGTGTTATTAAGTATATAACTATACTTCACTGGTATGATGCATCTCGTAAGCTACCTACAAAGATGTTTATTTTAATTATTACAGATTCGGTTGGTTGTTTCGGTGTTTATTTATCCAATATTTCGTAACTTCTATTTCTGTTCTTTACTTTTTTATAGGATATGTTATAACCTGGGAAATAATGCCACTGATATTTTATGGGAAGGAAAAGAGAAGAAACATATTGATAATTTCCTCACTGTTTGTTACTATTATTGTATGAAGGGTTTGCAAATTAGAACTCCAGCCCCGATCCAGGTGCATTGCATTGTTCAAATTGTTAGGTTATGTTTTTTTTTTAAGCCTTGATGGGCTATGTGATTTCTGGTTCTAGTCTTCACTGACCAAAATTACTAGGTGCTTGATCGGGTTGAGATGGCACATTTATTCAGTTTCTATTGTGGGTTAGTTTCACACTAGTATCTTACCCTAGTTGTTGATCGTAAGCATCTGGGTCCTGCCAATGAACTTGAAAAATGACTAAAAGGGATTGACACGCACATTTAACTTCCAATGCAAAATTGGATCTTTGTGGGGTTTTGATGACCTCATGGTGTAAAGAATGAAAATTGAAATACTGGTTACCTGTGTTTGTGTGTGTGTGGAAGCTCAGATTTTTTAGTTACTGATCTCTAAATTAAGTGGTGGGTGTGCTTCGGCTTTAGGGACACTGCCGGGTTATTTAAACTTTACCGGAAAGCATGCCTTTCATCATCTGGACATGGTGTTAGATATTCCTTGACTGTTTGACTTCTTAATCATAGTTGCCTCACTAAGTGGCTATCTTTTATGTTTTGTTTTCAAAGCCTCACCAAGTGGCTATTGCCTACAGTTAAATTGGTATTCATCAGCAATTTGGCCTTCAAAGTATAAAAACCTAATAGAGGCTTGAGGGATATGAGAAGCTCCAATGCCAGTCTTTTTTTATAAGTTCCAATCTTGTTGGTTCATTAAATCTGTGGTATAAATGTATTCGGATGGGTTCAATGGGTGTTTGTTTTCTGGAGGATTAGGTAAATGGCTGGGGATCTTTTTGACTGCCTTTTGCCATGTGGTGATGGTGTCTTGGGAAGGATGTGGAGCGGGGGATGTTTGTTTGTGGGTCTCAGTGTTGGTGATGCCTTATCACCTTGGGTTGTATCCATCATTTGTTTTCAGTTTTAATGAATTTTCTTTTTATTTACTACCAAAAAAGAGTACAGTTTCTAAAAGGATTAAGAATTCTAACAGTGACATTTGGTGCTATTTCTGGAGGCATTTTCTCAAACCTAATGGAGAAACACATCCCTCTTCAAGATTTTGGTGGTAGTATTATAAAAGGGATGATGGGGGTAACATGCTGCTCTAAGATGGGAGAATATTTGCTTGTGAAAGAAGGGAGGCAGTTGAGAATTTGATGTGTATGGGTGTTGAATGTAATCTCCTGGTGTAAGTTGTATTTAAAAAAAAATCAACTACAGAGGGAATGTCATGCTGTTGGTCTTTGTTTTTTAGGGAAGCTGAGTAGTGAAGGCCCAACAGTTCTTGAAGTTGCTGCCTCGGTGTTTTTCTTTCTGTCATTCTGTGAATGCATATTGGAACTATAGTCCAGACAGATTGCATCTTAGGATTGCAAGTAAAGTGCAGCTAACAGATTAACTTCATTTTGGTCTGCAACTTTATGTTCTCTTCAGAAGTTTTTTTTTCCTTGGTGGTGGCAATACCCCACATTGTCCATTTCCTATGGTTGGTAATTGCTGAGACTCTAGATCAGGGGCTAGGTTTGGCCGTTTGGGGCAGTATGTTTCCTTCACCTATACAGCTCTTTTTCATAAGTCTTCTTTCTGTTTTTGTTCCCACTATTAATGCTTCTGATACCTTGGTATGAGTTAGTACTTTTTCAGTAATAATAAATTATTATAAGAAAAAACTGCAGTACTGAAGTTTTCTTCTTCTGGGTTTTCCTGCATTATTCGGCAGCAATATTGTCAGACTCGGACTGGATAGAAGACTGGAATGCTCACTGGGTCACAGTTTTACCAGTTAACTGGGTGGTTGGCTTGTTCAAACCATGAAAACCATCATTTAAGCAGGACCCAGAAGGGTGACTGGGTTACTAGCTGTCCAGTCCAGTCCAAGCTTGACAACACTGGTGGGCAGCATAGAAGTGAAACAATACATTTGCTATCCTTGCAAACAGTGGTGGAGCCAAGAATTTTCTTTTTGGGGAGTTAAACAAAAAAATGAGATAGGGAGTAGAAGAGGTAAGGTTTGGAGTAAAATGGCCTGAGAATGTTTGGATCTACTACAGATTTTTTTAAAGAAAAAGTAAACAATTTTTTTTTTTTATTTAATTTGGGAATTGGAGGAGCGTTATTGAGTGATCCTTCACATTTAGTTCAAGTTTTGTGGGGAGGGGGGGGGGCAATTAAGGACCCACTTTATTACGTTTTTGACCTTGCCTCCACTTAGTAACCATATAAATAATGGTTTTAACAAAATGTTTGGGGGGGGCCAAGGACCCCTCAACGATATGCTTGGCCCTGACCCTGCTTGCAAAGATGCTGGAGTTCAAAGATGGAGTGAAATTATAAACAGAGAAGGGAATTAAAAGTTTTTGTTATCAAGGTAAGTTGAGGGAGGATCGAAGTTAGAGCCTTGTGCTTCAACTTGATACTGTAACACTAATATTGGGAATTATTTCCCCCTCTTTCTTCTACTAGGTGCTGCCTCCTTTCTAATTCCCCCTTTCTTTCATGGTGGTTAGTACTTTTTCTTTTCTGTTTTCTCGGGGGTGGGGGGAGTGACAAGATACCTTTGAGGATGTCCATATCTTTTGACATATGTTCACATTTTTGATTTGTCACAATGTTGATATGTTTACTCCCTGTGATGGAATGCCCTCTCTCAAATCATAGGTTAAACACTGAATATTGTCTAAACCTACTATTGGAAAACAATGCAGGAGTGGAGAGGGTATCAATATCTTTCTTGACATGTATTCACATTTGGCACAACACTGATACCCTTACTCCCTATGGTGGAGTGCTCTCTCTCAATGTTGACACACCAATGCTTGTTGTATCTGAGAGTGTTGGGAGAAGCATGCATTTTACTAGAATAACTGTAGTGGAGTTTTAGGCATCATACCTAGGAGAATTTGTGTTATACCATGGAGAGAGAAAGCATGTAGGCCTTCTGTAGGAGTTGAGAGAAGTCTTGCTCAAAGCAACAAACCTAGAAGCACTTCATTTACCTTGGAAAAGAATGCATGAGATGGATATGTTGTTCATGCATATACATATATGTATGTATATGTCAGCTCTTTAATTTTCATTAACCAAAATAAAGCAACTAGGCGTCGTTCTAGGTGACTAAACGCCCTCCTAGGTGACAAAAATGACAAGGAAGGTGCCTTTTATAATGTCATTTATATTGTTGTATCTTATTAATATGTGTGTTAATACATTTTATTGTATGCTATATATATATATCATTTATACTTTGTTTTAATGTTTTACTATTGAAATTTAAAAGATCACAGGGTTTTGAGGAGAGAAAAAGAAAGAAGGAAAGAAGGAAAGAAGGAAAGAAGGAAAGAAAGAACAGATGTATAGGGAAGTTCTTTTTTTCTATTCTCACACACTCTCTCTTCAATTAAATAAATAAGAAATTCCATCCTTTTTTTTTTCTATTTTACTTTCTATCTTGAATATTTATCATATTAAGGTAATAACTTTCTTTAAAATTGATATGAAATTGCTCTATTAAATACTTATTATGGTAGTATTATTTTGAAAATAATGAAATTAATATATGTAAAAGATTTTTTATCTTTTAGATTTGCCACATTTTTAGAGGAAATTAATGTTCTTAATAAAGAGAATTGCTATTTTTTCAATTAAGTTACATGCCGAATGGTATCTAAAACTAGGGAACTAGCCAAAAGTTAGTTCTTTATATTATAAAATTCTTATCACCTAGGCAACTAGACGCCCCAGTGTTGCCCAGAATCGCTTAGATGCCTTGAAAACTATGGTGAATGCAAACTAGTTTTAATGTGACCTATGCTTTTCTACAAAGATACCCCTGGTGGTCTAGTTTTCCAAAAATTCGAGATTCCTAGCTGAGATGACTAGTTGCAGGGTACTATTAGAGTGCCTTGGAGGATAGAGTTGCAAATGGAATGGATCAGATTTTAATCAGATATTAACCAGATTCAAGTTTGTTCCATTGACATTTGGATTTCAATTGAATCTTATCCTTCAGATTTAGATTGGATTTGAATGTTGTATATCCTTAATAAATTAAAATAAAATTGACGAAAATATTATATGAGATTTAATCTCATATTGCATGGAATTGTTGTTTTATCTTTTTTATTTTAAAACTTCCTTTCCCTTTTTGGGGAAGTAAACTTCCCCAATATTAGGTGTAGGAGTTCGTTCCTTGTGCATTGCATTCTGTTCCTTAGTTTTTAGGTTCCCCCCAATGTTTTAGAAAATGTAGGAGGTGTACCTCCAGGTGAGGCACTAACAAAATGCATGGAAGTGTAAATATGAGTTTTATGCCTCTTGCATACAAGCAAATAGAAAAGCATACACCTCATTTCAGGCATGCACTTCTATCATACCTCATACATCCCACTCTTTTTTTAAAAGAACAAATAAAGGATGTCGTCATGCTTAATTATTGGTTTTATATTTGAATGTGATGGTTTCATTACTAGAAATTTTTAACTATTGTTTTTTTTTTTCTAATTTTCTGATTTCCTTCATTTTTAGGAAATTTCACCATTTTCTTATTTATTTATTTTAATATTATTAATTAAAAACATAGGGTTTTGCATTTTTGTTTATGCATCATGCATCAGGAAGAATGCCTTTTGTTACACTTCACATTTTAAACATCAGGAAGAATGCCTTTTGGGTATCTATTTTTTCTTTTCTTTCTCTTCCATC